CATAATCAAAAGAATAACAGAAATACAATTATAGAGCATTCAGTATTGGAAGAAAGCCCACAATGTTTTTGAATAAATACATTACTGTATTGAGTTAAGTTCTGTTCGGTTTGAAGAACACCTGCTTGCTTGTTTGCGTTATATGAATCATCCAATTACACTAGTTTTCACTAGATGTGGATGGAGCCAATGATCTGCATTGGATGGCGCACATGAGGTGAAATAAATATTTATAAACGTTGAATCGAAGCCTAGAGTAATGAGTAACGTTTGTTTTAAAAATGTAAGGAATAGAAAGTACAGATACTTGTGTGAAAATGTAATGAGTAGAAGTCAGAAGTAGGAAGAAAAATAAGTAATTGAGTAAAGTACAGATACCTAAAACTGTACTTAAGTACAGTAACAAAGTATTTGTACTTTGTTTCTTGACACCTGTGGAGGCGGTTCCATCAACTGACCATCAGCATCTGGAAAGAGGGAGGAAAACAAAACCCCATCTCTGCAACCCAACTTCAACTGTGGCTGGAAGGGAGAAAATAGTCTGTCCAGTTTCACAGCCATTAAGATGTTTTGTGTTGTATTCTATTATCTGATGCAAGATATAAAAAAATACATGCGTGAGAAGTCTTTTGATAGTTGTATACAGGAGATCAACTTAGGCTGAAACATGTTAAGCTGTGGTTTACTTTGAGCTCAATGAGATTAGGCTGATAGGCCCCCTTTTCATGCTCTGTGTGACACATTGTGTCAGAGGAAGTGCTCTGTCTGGTCAGGCACCATTGAACTATCATGGAAGTTGGTGTATGGCTTTTCAAAATAAAGTTTTCTGTTTAGATCCTTGCAATCAGTACCAGAAAGTTTCAAATGAAATATGGAGGTTCTCACACAGTTATTCTACAAAAATAAAGATGATTGAAGTTTAGTTACGAAAATACGGAAGTTAAAAGAGAGAAACTTTTTATTTTTTTTATTTGCCAAGAGGTTTTATAAATAAATAAAAAAGATTGACTTTAAAAATTACTATATGAAATTTAGGACACTTAGGAAAACACATAGTTGGAGTACTTCCATAATTTCAAGTCTAATATAATTTTGTAGAATATTATATCGAAGATAATAAAAAAGAATAGTTAATTCTTTCTTGCTCATAGCTTAAATAAACATAAAGATGTTTTGAGCATAGAATGACTGGTTGTAATATCTCAAAACATGCTTTTAGAGCCCTACTGACCTATTTAATCTATAAACACCTGCTGGTGAGCTGAAATGAAAACACTTTATATTTATCTCTGATTTTTTTTTTTACTGGAGATTTCCCTGAGAAGTATGTCAAATCTGGTTCAGAGTGGGCTAATATTAATTGATAATCACGTCATCATTGATTTTAACAATACAAAAATATCTATTAAGGGACACATTTGTGGAGTGTTGGTCTAGTGGTTAGAGCAGTGCGCTTGTGCTCTGAGCAGGTTGTGAGTACCTGGTTCGATCCCTATATCCTCCACTCTGGGTCCCTGAGCAAGACCCTTAACCCCACACTGCTCCCCGGGGGCGCCACAGAATGGCAGCCCACTGATCCACAAGGGGATGGGTTAAATGCAGAGAGTGAATATGGGAAGTGGCGGTCTTCTGTCAGTTCAGCATAGTCGATACACATGCGCAAAATGTCAGATTTGAGTTTTATACAAAAAATAGACTTGAAACTACCTTGATGGGCGTGTATCCCTTTAGTCATATACAAAAAAATCATTTTGAGGTCAGATTGCCATACGCTTCAAAAAACACCAAACAGTAATTTAAAAATTTGTTTTACATGACGAAAGGGACACATGCACACTGAGGTAGTTTAAAGCGGCCTAGTGGTTAGGGCATTATGCTTGAAATCCTGAGGTCCTGAGTTTGAGCCCCACTGCCACTCTGAGTTCCTGAGCAAAGACCCATGACCCCACACTCCCCCCGGGCGCTGCACAATGGCAGCCCTTTGCTCCTCAAGGGGATGGGTTAAATTTCAGAGAGTTAATTTCATTTCACTGTACTTGTGACAGTGTCAATACAATGAAAGCTGAAAAAATAGATAAATTATACATACATACATACATATATATATATATATATATATATATATCGTATTGTATCGATCCAGCAGCCGATGATCCAATGCATCGACTCGTCCACAAGAGTATCAATTCATGTTTTTTTTTCTTCCTTCAGTCTATTTTTATCCATTTGCTCCTGGACGTAATTCTGACTCCCGTCCTGCGGTTGTGCAAAACCTATTTTGCCCTCCTACCTCGCTTCCTGTAGCTACTATCCTCTTATTCACTTCCGCTTGCACACACACACTCGTGTAATCAGTAGGCAAAACAGACATGGCGGATTCCTGAGTATCGAAAATAATCAAATCATCAGGAAATTGATACTGAAAAGAATCGCCATGATGGGTGTGATTTACACCCCTAATATCTATATATATCTTTATATATATCTATATATAGATATATATATCTCTATATATGTATATATATATATATATATATATATATATATATA